TCTATCTATCTATCTATCTATCTATCTATCTATCTATCTATCTATCTATCTACACACACACTTGACTTGGCATATTTTAAAACGGCTCAGTACAGAATTTGTATTCCGATGTTGTATTTACAATCTTCTGTACTTTAGATGTGCAGGTACTCTGAGTGGACCCGTCCCATCATCGTGGACATGACTGAGCTCGCTCTCTGCGCTGAGAACGACCCGTGTAACTTCACCTCCAAAGTCTGCGCCAATGACACAGTCCTCCAAAACCTGTTGGCCAATCAGGACAACACCTGGTTAATAAAGTACTGTGCCAACCATTCAACCCCAGGGGCATTTCCAAGTGGGGGACCAGGAACAGGCCTGACTGGATTCATCCCAGCAGAGCAGTGCCAGTACTCCAGCTGGAGCATATCTCTTCCAGATGCAGCACTTCTGGCTCTCTGCTGGGAGCACGACCAGACCAGTTTTGTCTCCTCCATCTGCCCTAACGCTGGTCTTCTCTATTTGCTGTCCCGGGAGCCCTCCAGCATGTGGGTCGGCAGCATGTGTACCACCTACACCAACTACACCACTACTGCCACCAACAGCAGCAGCAGCAGCAGCAGCAGCACTACCACTGCAGAGCCCAATGTTTGCCTGGCCAAAAGCCTAGTGAGTCAGTTCAACTGGACCTGCTCAGCTGACTTCACCTCAGCCTGCCAGCCCGGGGCCAGTCAGAATATGGCCCTGCAGATGGTAGTGCGCTGCTGGGTGGAGAGTCTGAGGTCCAGGGTGAAGGATCTGCTGACTCCACCTGTGGCCACAGTGTTGGAGCAGGCCGTCAGCACTACTGTGGTGATCCTGTTGGCCCTGGAGGAGGTCCAGAACACCTCCCTGCATGTCACAGACAACATAAGAATGAGTGTGTTAGCGTCTGTAGTTCGCTATCTCAAGACGGAAAACAACTTTGACAAAAAGAGGGTGTTGCTGCAGTGCTTTGGGGTAGGTAGTTATATGGTGCTGTAGGTGTTTGAAGGGGAAAGTATCTTGCTATCTGTGGTGGTGGAAGTATTCAGATGATTTTATCTAACAATTAACAATCCTGCATCGGAAATGTATTGTTATCAAAATGTGCTTTTACGATTAAACGTATTCATAATTAAGAAATATGCTCTGTGAAATGGAAACATTCCAGTAAAGTACCTCGAAATTCTACTTGTGTACAACAGTTGAGTAAATGCACTTTGTTACATTACACGACTGCTTGCTATATTATTTGTTACCACTTATACTGTATGAGTGACTAATGATGCATATTTTAGCACAGTGTGAATAGAGATTCTCCCTCATCTTTTATTCATATTGGCTCAATCAGTTTCTGTGTCAAACAATGAATTGACTTTATAGTTTATCTAATCATTCATCCATATCAGTTACCATTAGCGTCGTAGCAGCTGACCTCCAGTGTACAGACAGCCTGCAGCTGGTATACAGTTACACTCCTGTCATCGGTATCTCTTCCTCTGGCTGTAATCTCTACTGGCTCACACTTGATTTGACAATTACAAGAATGTGTTAAAACAGATTTCCAGATTATTTTCTGACATAATCCCCATGTTTTTAGTATCCTAACCCTGTGTGTGTGTGTGTGTCTCTTTCCTTTCTGTAGAGAGTCTTAACCAGCCTGATGCAGACAACAAGAGACGTGACCGGTGATGATATGTTAATCATTAAGGTGATTTATACCACACCAGCTTAAATGTTATTACCGGGTTTTAGCCATGCTAGCTGCATGGCTCTTGGGATGGCAAAGTCAGTCTGTTGGTCAGTCCACCACTTTGGTCCAGACTTAAATTATTTAACAATTATTGGATGGATTTCCGTGAAATGTTGTACATTCGTGATTCCCAGAGGATGAATCCTAATGAATTTGGCAATTCCCTGACTTTTCCTCTGGTGCTATCATGAGGTCAAAGTTTAATTAAAGAAAGTATAATTCCATTGGGATTTGTAAATCTCTTTTACAAGAGGGTCCTGGTCAAGATGGCAGCATGCATAAACATGTGAACACACAGATAAAGGATTTAAAAACAAAACAACAAATTGCAACAATCAACTGCTGCAGCTGCTTGCATGGCTATAGATTATTTTTCCAATGATGCCCTTGTATTCTTTCTGTCTTTTTGTTGGACTCATTTCTTTGTGTGTTCATGTGTCCAGGAGTACTTTAGGATACCGGTGAGCAGCTTGAGCTCTGTGCTCAATGCAGCGCACATCAACACCGTCAGACTGATCCTTCAGTACTACAGCGGGAACAAGGATACGCTGAAGGTGGATGAGCACACCATTACACCACCATGTGATTCCTACACTAACCTCATTTCTTCCTAGTTCACTGTAGCATCTGTTTAGTCTTAGTACACAGTTTCGTATTTGCTTCTGTTTGCCAGTTGCCCGATGAGTACCTGTCCACCATGGTGTCAGTGCTGCTCCAGACCCCCCTGGTAAAAGTCGGTAGTCTCTTCCCTGAGCTGGCTCCACTTCTGCCTGCAGCGAGCCTGGCTGACATCCAAGCTTTGCCCTCACTGCAGAACGACATCAATGTGTAAGTAAGGGTGTCACCTAATCATTTCTAATGATGCAATACTATAATGAGCCTGATACTTATTATTTTAAGGCACATTCATGAATGATTAGTGTGTCACTTATTCTAACTAGTATTGTTTCTCTGTTGTATTGGAATTGTTTTTTTCATACAATTTGTAAATGAGTTGATTTTGTGCTGCTGGAGTTTTTACCTCTAAGATTGCCTCCATGCACCTTGTCAGTAGGTTTAGACTCTCTTAGCAGCAAGAGACATCTTACTAAGTATTATTTATGTGTGTCAAACAAACAAGTTACTGAGTTTGTCTGTGTTACATCTGCAAAGAGTATTTAGTGACCACCATTATTTATTTCCATGGTGCACAATCATGCAAGCTTACTTTCCTACATATTATTATATTATGTTTCCATCTGAACACAGCACTGGTGTCCTCTGCTAGAAGTGAAGTGTCATTGCACCCCGAGGTGCCAGGAACATGCATTGTACATAGAAAGTAAAGTAAACAGGTTCACTGACTAGATTTCATTCTAGAAAGGGGTTATAATGTTTATATTCACTGAAGGGAAGTTGTGTCTGCAGACAGTGCACACATAACAAACGCATACAAAACATGTCTGACAAACAGTTTGTTTTCTTAAGGTAGAAATGAATGAGTCCACTGTCAGATGATACCAATATGACATCTGTATGGTAAATATGTAGCTGGTGCCAGAAGGCAATTAGCTTAGCTTAGCATTTAGACTGGAAACATGGGAAAAACAGTTAGCCTTGCACTGTGCATAGGCATCTAAACTAAATATGTAAATTCCCATCATAAATTCCAGCACACAAACCCCGTACAGCCACAAAGTGTCATCCTTACACTTAGGATTTTGTACAGATTAAACAAAAAAGATGTAATGTGTTAGTTAGTAAACTTAAGTCGGCAGATTTTTTTACATTTACATCCTCCCTGTTTCAAGTCTTTATGCTAAGCTAATCATATTGCTTCCTGGTTATGGATTTATACAGGGAGAGTGGCATCACTCTTCTGATCTAACTCTCACAAGAGTGAATTGAAGCGCATATAATAAAAAAAAAAAAAAGTAAAGGTTTTTCTTTATTATTTAGTACCTGGCTTTTCTCCCAACCTCACACTATGTTTAGATTAGTTAAATGCAATCCTTCAAGTCACATGCAAAAAAACACAGTTCCTGTAAATCACACACCTTTAAGCAACACCTATTATTGTTGTTTTATTTTATTATCACTTTATTTCTAGGAGGGAGACCATTAACAGACACTTGGCGCGCATGACTTTGGACCAGCGGCGGGCATTTGGCATGTGGCACAGCAGAGTTATGCCCCCCTCCCTCATCATCAGAGGCAAGCAGTCACTCATCAGGGACACAGGAAACCTGATCGCCTACCTGCCCTTCAACAACTTCCAACACCTCTCATCTGCTCAGGTAACATCCCTCTGAGCTTTGACACCTGGCTGGGAAACCCTAGAAGCCAGGACTCTGTCAGTTCTACTTGCCCCAGGGCACAGCATAGCTACTTGTCACGAATGGTCAAAGGAAAGCACAGACAGACTCTTTTTGTCTCCACCAATGTGTAAAGATAGGAACACATTAATTAACAATGACCTGAAGATAAAAGGGTAACTGACCTTTGAGTGCTCAACCAGGCAAGGTTTTAAAGGAATAGTTTGGGAAATACATTTCCTCGCTATCTTAATTAAGAAGCTACAGTCAGTAGTCAGTTAGCTTATCTTAGCGCGAACTGACACAACCACAAATATGCTTTTGTATGGATTTGATAAACAAGATGTCACTTTTTAATTTGTGAGCTTTAGAGGTGAGACAGATGTTGCTAACCTTTCAACAGAGCCAGTCTAGTTGTGTCTTTACACTAAACTATGCTAAGCTAAACTAAGCTAGTCAGCTGTTTAGGTAGCTTCATAAGCATATTTCCCAAATTCTACAAGATTTCATCCGTGCCTAGTAGTAGACTAAATGTCGATTTTTTTTTAAATTTTTTTTATTTTTATTTATTTTTTATTTTTTTCCACCCAACCTTGCAAGAGGACAAATAAGCACATTTCTGAGAAATGTACAACTATTATTTTGAATGAGTTAATGATTCTGAATAATTTCTTGTCTAATATTTATTTCTCACATTTGCAAAAAGTATTTAATGTCACATATTCAGACAGAGATTCTATTTCTGCATTTCGGTCATCATGCATCTCCACAGCTGTTGGACGGGCTGGATGTGTTGCAGAGAAACACCCTCACTTCTCTAAAGCAGGAGTTCGTAGCTCACAGCCTCATTGGTACCTACAGGAACTTGACAGCTCGGGATTTTACCAGGTTGGCAATGACTGATTGGAGGCACCTCCAACCTTTCTGTGCATGTACACTGTTTTCTAGACATGAGATCAGTAGGTGCAAACTTTGATAAAACCTGGTTTAACACTTTGAATTGAACATTCTTCAGAGAGTAAATGACCTCAAGGACAATGATTTTGTTTCACTGACCAAATTATAATGAATAACAGCAAAAAAAACATTTGTTTTTACAAAATGTCTACATTTTTTGAAAGGAAACCTCTCATCTGCTCCCGGGTTTGTGTTGTTAAAACGGCGTCTGTAATTTTAGGTTGGGAAATCTCTCATGCCTGGCAGACCCAGAGGACCTCCTCATGTACAAAAGCACTAAGGTCTTCAGTGTCATCCGGGACATCGTTATGAACTGCACTCGAGAGGGACTCAGTCTGCCCAGCCATCTGGTAGGAACAGAGAAGTTACTATGTGGTTTCTCTATTGTTTTCTTAATGTGTGTGCTTTCATTTAACAATTTAATTTAAGAAGTAAGTATAATATATACGCTGTCTTTGTGCTTTTTCTGAACCACATTTCCAGATTTCCAGTGTGTTACTGAACAGCGCAGAATTAAAGATCCCGTCTTTGCTCAGTTCTGATCGACTGGCAGAGCTCGGTCACCTCCTGCCCTTGCTGGGTGTGACTTTCCTGCAGGGTCTTACACCGTCTCAGCTGCTCGCTGCCCTCCCTGCCCTCGTGTCTGTTTCATTCAGCCCTGTGCAGGTAGAGGAGCATACTCAACCTGTAATGCACAGTGAAAGATGTAGCGGTCATCATTTAAAGCTTGATTTCTGTTGCCATCTAACACTCACAGTTTTTTCCTGTGTAAAATAAATGTCAGGGTAGTCGGTCCCTTTCACTGCATAAACTCCTATTTATTGTACATGGTTGGGTATCCTGGCAGCTGGTGGGCTTTGCATGCTTGAGGAACAGCTGACAGCCAGGCGGTCTTCAGCACACTGACCCCCGAAGTGAGACGGCTAATGAGGCAAAGACCTGAGCTCTACTCCACCCTCAGCTATCATATGAGCTGGAGCTTTTTACTCTCAGCCTCACAGCTGTCGTCTCACTTGTATATGTCATAAGGAGTCTTGAGAGGATGAACCTCTTAAAACCTACAGATAGTTTGGCAGGTCCATTATACAAACAATGTTGTGTGGGCAAGTTTTTTTTTCAAGTCCCAAAAAACTTCAGTAGAAATCAATGATATAGAGCTGAAGCAAGTATTTATTTATTACAGGTAATTCCTGGTATTCCTTTTCTGTCATTTGTTTTTCAGGCTTCCATAATTGTAGAAAAGATGTCTTCAATTACCACCGTGAGTGATTTTGTAAACACATCTCAATGTGAATTTAGTAAAGAGATGCTCTCTGCCTTCGTTGCACCTTAAGCCTCACACCTTCCTCCCCTCTGCCCAGCTGACCGCTCAAGGCCAGCTGCAGAAGATCGGCTCCCTCATTGTGGGAATGAAGACGGAGACCTTGTTGACACTCACCTCAGACAGGCTGCTGTCATCCCTGCCTGCCATGGCCCAACGCAAACCAGGCCTCAGCCCGCCACAAGTCAATGCTGTATCCACCAAACTATGGGTACAACACACACATGCAAAGAGCAGGGAGATACATTCACATTGAAATCTCAATTTTTTTTCTATAAATTTAAGGTGTCAGTTTGGCTTTGTTAAAGTCAAAGAAAAAATGATGTAATAATAAATGTACAGTCAAATGCAGGATTTATAAATGTCATAGTATTAATAAGAACACAATACCTTGTCAGTTACACTAGGTACTGTATATAACACAATTAAAAGAATAAAGCTTTTCCCTTTATCTCGGTAGATTTTATATTTGATCATCAGCATTCGGTCAAAGAGTTTTTGGGGTTGTGTGAGTTTTTTAATCTGAAAATGGCAACTGCAACACGTTTCCTTGTGTTATCGCACCTCTTGTCTGACCAGGGCTTCCCAGAAGTGGTCCGTTGGCTGGATGAAGTGGAGCCTTTGCTCTTGCGGACGCCCCTGCTCAGTGTCCTGCCCAGGACTCAACTGCTTGTGAACAACATCACCACTGCATCCACAAAACCGTGGAACACACAGCAGGTATCACACAGCCCACCTGGCATCAACACACAGCGTAGAAGCCATGTTACTCAAACTTTTTTTACTCAATACCTCTTAATAACTGTGATACCACCTCATGGGACATCATCGCAGGGTGCATATGCAGAGTGGTAAACAGTTGAGGCAAAAATTAATTTTCATTTGTCAAATATCAGAGAAGCCCCACAAGCTAGAAAGTATCAATATATTTAACACTATTCTGTAAAAATACGTGTGTCAAACTTATTTATCTTTGCTTGTTCACATCGGGGCAACTAATACAGTGTTGTATAACATTAATGCTCAATCTAACAAAATAATAAAAAGAAAAGTGTGGATTAACAGAGGGTGGTGGAGCGGGCCATCGAGTCTTTAGTCAGTTCACTTTCAGTTGCTTGAAAGCATCTAACCCTGAACCTGTGACTTCTACTTTGTGTTATGATCTCTTCCTGCTTCCTCTGATTAAATATGCTTCGTCTGTCTGCCATGAGAAGGTGTGTATGACAGTATCTTGATTCACTGCTAAATTATTAAACGGAAAAGGCAAAAGCAAAGATGTCATCATCCCTGACACTGTGAATGGACTTTCCTGTGAAGACAAACAAGACAGAGAAAAGAACTATCAATCACTATTTATATCAAGTTACCCTCTCTGATCATGGAAACTGGAAACGGAAGCAGCTCACAACCTGAATGAACCAGCATGTTGCAACATAACACCTAAAACACTTGTTTCCATTTTCTTCCCCAGGCTAAAGCAATTTTCAAAGAGGTGCTTGATACGAAACCAAACCTAATTGAACTGAATTTTCTGTAAGTACAATTAATTTCTGTGATGAATATGTATACACTATTTTCTCTTTGCATACTTCTTGTCTGCATCCAAAATGTATTCAATACTATTGGCAGATGCTTTCAATTTCCTGAGTTTCTTTTAACTGTGTTGGTTCTGGGTGGACACTCACTTCTTTCTGTACTCAGGAGTCTGGGAACAGTGGGTCAGGGTGTGAGCTGCAAGGTCTTACAGGAACGTTTTCGTGCTGACTCTTCGGTTTCTTCAGTGAGAAGAATCCTGGCCTTCCTCAGGCAGCAGCCTGGTCCTCTTCACACCTCACTGGTACACATGCCTGTTTGATTGATGCCATTCTACTGTCTATTAGATATATGCTTTTCGTCTATCATACATGTGATATATTTCCTTTGTCATGCGTCTTTGGTTTTCTGGACAGAAAAAGTGTGTGATCGAGGAGCTGTATCAGTTTGAGTTCTTCTCTGAGCTGCTCAAAGATCTTGGAGCTGAGATTGCCCTGTCCATGCCGTAAGTCAGAAGATGGCATTAGTCGCTCTGCTATTAATGTGTTAAGTTGTTTTCCAGACATTCAAAATGATTGCAGGACAATAGCCATCTCATTATGAGTAGACAAGAATTACATTTCAAACACTTTCACTACATGTTGGCAGGAAACATGGTAAACCCTTGTGTATTTATCACATTTAATCTATTAAAACAAAAAAGCATATCAAGTATAGTATATTATAGTAATATTGAAGGTAAAATGGCCACTCCCTCCTTTTAATAATACAATATGTATTGGATGTATTTATTCACAATATATAATGAAAATATTCCTTATCATTTTCTTTCTGTGTGTTTGCTTGCAGGGTGAGCACCATTAAGAAGTTTCCCACAGATATGATGGACACTCTAAGGAAGATGATTGTTCAGGACCGTCTGCACTTTCTCTTGCTGTCCAGAACAAAACAGGAGCTGCTGGTTGACAGAATGGTGCAGAGGATGGTCAGTAGAGCCACACTGTGTTGCTATACCGATCCATTTCCTCTGTTAAAATGTTAAAAGGCAAAGAAACAAGAAGAAAAAAAAAATTTTTGAGTTTGAAAACAAGAACATTTACAGGAGATCAGCAGTGGAGAGTGTATTGTGTTTGCTGTGTGATCAGTGTTTTGTGGACTCTTTCTCTGCAGGGCATGTACACGGGGGTGTTTACTGAGGAGGAGTTTCGTTCACTGGGCATTATGGCACCGTTTGTGGCAGATGAAGTTTTCATTAAACTTGACCGAAGCTTCTTCATCGACAACCTGGACTTCCTCCAGGGGCTCTGCTACAGCAGCAGCAAGATGGACATTGTGGCTCGTATCCTGCTGGAACCTGCAGCATTTGGGTAACAACAGTTATTATATCACATAGCCTGAAACTGAATGTTTTAATAGTTTGGGTCAAGAAAATCTATTTTTTAAGGCTTTTTTGAACAATGAATTAACAAATAACAAGACAGTATGACATTACTTGGCCCATGTCTGATTAGTAGAAAGCCATAAACATTCAATGACAAAAATAAAATATCAAACAAGATTTTTATATTATAAAATGCATTGAAAGTGGGCTTTTTTTTGTGTGAATTTGACTCGTGATATTTTGCCATTATGAGAACATAGCTAATCAGCAACATTTCTAGTTTCTCAAACTAAGCAAACTTATAAAATTTGCCTCTTAGTAGAGTTTTAAAAGTGTGTTTGTGGGATTCTTCAACCTATACATTAAGATTGATAAGATTACAGTTAAGGAGGAAAACATGGGGTTTTCATATATCAAAAGCTTTCTGTATCAAGGTGATGAAGTGTTCTTCTGTTTCCTCACAGCCCAGTTAACAACTGGAACCAGACGACACTAAGTCAGGTGGACCGGTTTCTCTTCTTCCTGCCGAACAACAAACTGCAGGAGATATCCCTTGTGAGTGTGCTGTTGTACGTTTGGTCATTTGGTATTACATCTTAATTGCTCATGAGATTGACTGACAGTTTGCACCCACGATTGTGGAACGTTCATTCAATGTACTAAAATCCATAGTGAGGCGTTGGGATTGTAACTTGATCCTGGCAGGTTCGCTAACAAAGGCTGTAAATAAATCCCTCAGGTGTCAAATCTCCAGTAGGTGTCAGGATCAGGGGATGAAGTTCCTGTTTTCCCGTAAACCATCAGTGTGTGTGTCTCTTTGTGTCCATATGTGTTGCTGTTTGTGTTCCCACAGGCGTTGATGACTGTGGGGCGTATCGAGAGGCTGTTCATGAGCCAGCATCGATGGCAACGTGGGAACGTGGGGATCCACTGTTCAGACGAGAACGAGCGTCAGAGACTTTCTGAAAAGCAGCAGTTTGTTCTACAGTTTTTCCTGGGCTTCCTGAAAATACATCCTTTGTCACGTGAGCATCACGATGGTTCCTAAAATCAAAAAAAAAAAAAAAAAAAAGATATATGGTACTCTGTAAAGGAATAGTTCAACATTTGGAGAATTGTGCTATGTTTGCTTTTCCAACCAAGGCAGTTATAGGAGAGCTATTAACATAATAGACTGGTATTAAAGTAACAGTTTCGACATTTAAATGGGAAGATCGATATCACTCTCTTATTTGTCTGTTCAGTATAAGTCTACAGCCAGCAGCTGATTAGCTTAGCTTAGCACAAAGACTGGAAACAGGGGGATCTGTCTAAAAGGTAACAAAATCCACCTGCAGCCCCTTTAAAGCTCACCAATTAACACGCTATAATATTACATGTTTGTTTAGTCTGTACAAAAACCGCAGTGTAAAAACAACACAATGTGGTTTATATGAAGAACTCTTTCTTGGTCGCACACAGTTACTTCCTGGAGTCTTGTCATGCAATGATGCTCCAATGTCAAACTATTCCTCTGATCTATGGCAATCATGTCAAAATTATTGTTTCAGATTTGATTTTATTCCAATAAAGTATAAATGAAATTAGTCATATATTGTACGTCAACAGCATCTACTTATCAGATATTTGTGTGTGTGTCTTTCACCAGCGACTCCTATGGTTCCTACTTGTGAGATTCTGCACACAACAGCTCCCTCTGCCTGGACCTCCAACAGTCTGCTTAGCATGTCTTCATTGGCCTTCTCCAACTGTCTGGAGCTGATGGGTCATGACCCGTTCTTAGCATTCTACCAACGCAGCTCGGTGCTCAAGAAAGTCAAACAGGTGAGATCCAACTGCAGTCCACCTCAGTCCATTAACAAGCAGGTGTGTTTGATTCAAGGCTGTATAGCGTAATTTCCCCTCCTCAGTCCAGGTCTTAATACTGTGTGTCTGCTCTTTCTTTACCGGATGTGAGAAGATATACGGCCCCGTCTCGTCCTTCTCCCAGTCTGTGATCTCTCAGCTGGGTGGAATAGCAATAGAGCTGTCACCAGAGGAGCTGAGCAGCCTCCGACTGACTGAGCGAAGCAGCATCGCTGCTCTTAGTGCTGTCAGAGCCTGGAGCAACAGACAGGTATAGCTGCTTTGGCCACAACAGTTAATATATCACATAGATTTACTGAACTGTCTGCATTAACTCAATTTGACCAAATATGCACATTTATTTTACCGTATATATTGCTTTCAAAATTTTCTGAGAATGCAGAGTGTAAAGTTTTCATTTTTCCATGACCACTGAGAAGTCTTGATTCTCGTTGATGTGCAGATGTTGATTCATTTGTACTCAGACAGTATAGCTGAGCTGGACACTTTTAATGCAGGTGTTTGTTTGACAAATAAATGTACCAATATTAAACTCTAGGTGCTCAGTGAGATCCACTCAAACTTTAATTTTTGTTTGTTAGAAACAGAAATCTGTCCTATAAGTAAATTAATGATAGATATTTTCAATTTGATTAAATCTTTGATTAAATTATATATGTAGAATAATAATAATAACCCAACAACTGATATACTACAGTTGTCATTGATGACAAGAACTGCAAACAATTACTATAAAGGTGACTTAACGTTTCAAAAACACTAAACAATGTCCTCATGAAAGTAGGACTTGTTGCCGTACTGTTGTTTTAGGGCTGTTGTATTGGAATAAATTAGTTTTAGCTACCTAATAAACTGAGTGTATGTTCAAAGAGCATATCTGGATCATAACTCTTGTTTTCATTCCAGCTTTCTGCACTGTTTACCACCGTGTTAAACTCCACCGAGCAGAGTCCGAGCCAGCTTGACTCCAGCACACTGGTGGCGATGGGATACATCGTGTGTGGAGCCCAAACCACAGAGATTAATTCTTTCAATGCCGTAGAGTTCAGGTGAGCAGATAAAAAGAGGCTCTTTTACAGGCCCGTTTTAATGGCTGCTTTCTGAGAACTACTCTGCTGCTGATAATATTCAGTCAAAGTAATCTGCCCTCCCTCCTCCACTTCCTCTGCTGTGTCTCTCCCTGGTGGCTGCAGTAAGGCGGTGCTCTGGCTGGGTCAGCTGAGGCTGTCCTGCTCAGAGGAGCAGCTGCTGGCGTTTGTTGGGCTTCTGACCCACCGTCTTGCTTTTGGACCCATGAGTTCATGGGGAACTGCTGTCTTCATTGAGATTGGTGTTCTGGCAGGTATTACGCATTCACCGACTTCCCCGTATGGCTTTTACAGATTTGGAATATTTTCACTTCTAAAATGAAATAAAACTATGAATTTGTTATGTTCATTCTGTAGCAGTGGACACAGGCGTATTAAATTACACTGTGTAAGAACAATGTGTCAATTCTCAATCGTGTTAATTGGACATCTGGTTTAATATCTGTGTGGTACAAATATCTTATTTTTGTTGCTCAGTCAAATGTTATGTGCTCACGTCCTTAAATGAACTCCATCCTGTTTTTATTATTTGTTTTCTTGACACCCTCTAAACGTATTCCGTCACTCTCATATTGTTGGATCCCAGTGTTTTTGACTCAGGCGACCTTTGTGCTGCTTCACTCTCTTTGAAACATATTGCACTTTTTACAGCTGGTCTCCCAGACATGGCCATGTCAGCTTTGGTGAATGAACAAATAGAAGGAATCACACCTGCGGCTGTCTCAATGATACCACCTGATAAGTTTGCTGTAAGTCAACATTTGATAAAACAACAAAACAGTATTCACAGCAGAAGCTCTTGTGATTTAAGAGGATTTCAGAGCTATTTTATAAGTTATTTCTCTGCAGTCCAAAATGTGTTAATGTTGGTGCATTTATTCTAACAGCGCCTTATGTTTTCTCATCTTGTCTCTGCCAATTGGCTCCTCTGTTTCTTTGTGTCCGTCTGTCTGTTTTGTCATTTCCTCAAAGGTGGTGTTTCACCAGAGACAGATCAGCATGTTCTCCTATGAGCAGGCTGCTGCTGTAACTGATGAGCAGCTCTCTGCTCTGTCAGATGTTCAGAGGACAGCCCTGGCTATGGTGCTGACACCGTGGGAGGACAGGCCTGTTAACTTCAGAGGTAAGCCACTCAAATCTTTGAAATTCTTATTGTCCACTGATAATTGTAAAGAAGGGTCATTTTCGGAAGCTTGCTATTTTTTTAGTTTATCTGGTGAACATGAACGCTCTAACTGAAGTTGTGTCCCAGTTCCATACTAATACTATTACAGTATGGCTTATACAAATAGTATTAATATAGTGTCTTTGACATCAGTATACAAGAAATAGAGCACTTAAGGTTTGCGCTTAATGGAAATCATACAAGATATGCGCTGACAGACATCACTCCAACTAAGATGTTAGACTATTGCCAAAATAAACTCTACAAAGAAAAAACGAAATGTTTTTTCAAAGATGTAATACTTAATTTTCTTTTTTTGAGATCATCCTGAAGCTGTTCATCCATCATCTGAAATTTGTTTAATTTTTTTACAGCTGTCATTAGCTTCTCTATGTCTTTTGTCTCACAGTCACCAAAGCCAGATTTGATCAGATCCTACACAAAGGGACTATCAATTTTATATTTTAGGTGTGAATGCATTTTATACACAAAACCCCGTGAGTAGGTAGTGTGGAATTGGGATGCATTATGGGACACAATTAGGCTGTTTGTATGTGCTTTAATTATTTATTTCACAATTACATTTATCTGTTTTATAGACTAAATTATGCAATATTAAAAAAAAAAAAACATAACATATCAGAATCGGCTTTATTGGCCATGTATGCAAATACATACAGTACAAGGAATTTGACTCTGTTTTTTCCGTTGCTCTCAACATCCATACACAGAAATAGACAAATAAAAAAACAAGGACAACAAAATAGAACGGTAAACATTTAACTACTATGTACACATATAAATATATATACAAAGTATATATATATATAAACATAAAACACAAAAACAATGAAATCTAGATAAAAGTTCAACGAATGCAGAGATATAGAAAGATTGTCACAGGATACTTTATGTACATGAGGTTGTGTCCAGGGCGTGACGGGTCTGCAGTGATGTTGTGATTACGTTGTGAGGGATTGTAAACTTCTTATATGATGATGTGCTTTTTATGGTGTAAAAAGAAACCGATTCAATTGGGATGAGTATTCTTCCATTTATTTCATGGCCGTAATAGAAACTTACCTCTAATACTGGAATATCCCAACTGGCCAACTCAAGAAGACGTAATGAAATACTCTGAAATTTGTTTAACAGTGTTTTTTCCTATGACATACAAAGACGGATAACTCACATTGCAAAACATTTGAATTGGTTTCACTGTATTCCTGCAGGGAAGTCACTGGGGCTGGCACTGAGCCACAGTCCTCTGTGCCTCATACTGGGACTGCTGATGCTGCTGCTACTGCCCTGCCCTGATCTGATCTGCCCTGGCACATGACCCCACTCACCCCTGCTGGATCGGGAAACACCTCCGCAACCACATAACCAAGATGATCTCATTTATCTGTGCAATACCGTACCTCTTTGAAATAAGCAGCACTTCAGGATTTCTATAAAGTGTATTTATTGAGATTGTAATTTATTCTGTGCAACTGACACTTATAGACACATCAACATTCAGCACTGGAGCAACCAAATGTCTTGTTTAATTCAAAATATATAAAAAAAACATTGTTGCAGTATACAATACAAACATTAAATCCATCAAGTCAAACCAACACTCACATACTTATTTTCATACACATATATATTTTGCTTATTTATTTATATATTTATTTTTTAATAAACTTGTATGAATCCCTACTGCCCTTCTCTTGGATGAGAGCCCATACCCAGAAAAGCAACTCAAACACTTAAAAGTTTTAAATGTAGTTATGAGACACTTACAATGACCAAATGAATGTTGTGATGCAAATATACTAGGTTATATATTTTTGTGAAATTATATAAAATGATATATTTTTGTCAGAGTAAGAGTTGTATTGTTTGCTACATTTATATATCTATTGTGAGTTATTTTAATTCGATAACAGGTACATAATGCTCAATGAGACCTCATTGTACTAGTGTTGGTCAACTTTTTGCTGTGAGTTTTATATTGTAAACACTTTCTGGTGTGATGGATCCAAGTTATTAAACTGAACCAGTCTGCCTCTGATTGCTATTTATCATAAACATGGTATATAATAAACTATGTGGACATAAAAAAATACAGTGGACTGCTTTCATCCATTTTCTTGTATTTATATAAACTTATTTCTTATTTATTTAGAATTTTTAAGTCAACATTATGTAGATTAAATATAATTATGGACATTGTATCAAAATAATGAGTCAATATTACGATATAGCAAGTCAAGATTGTTTTTTAAAGTAAAAATGAATATTGTAATTTTGAATTTTTTACTCAGTATTTTTGATAAACTAACAATATGACTTAAATCTGAAAATGTTGACTCGTAATTTTGACCAGTGTGGGCGATCTGTTAAAATAATGTATACAGTAACGTTAGTGTAAATGAATTCCACCACTGGTTGTCACATTATCCATCCCACATCATATCACCCTCCTTGTGTTTAGCGACTATTTAATTAAATAAAAGTACCCGGGTATCGGTGTCGTGCTGCCTGAAGTAACGTTAGCTCAGGGAGGCCGTGTCATAAGATAAGCGCTCAGAGTGACGTCGAGAAGGTGGGAGCACTTTCTGAACGTGGCCAACGGGCTGCTGCACTGACTCTACTGCGAGCCTGTCAAACACAACCAACACAGCCAACATGGCGGACTGGGGTGAGCAACTTAAGCTAGGAAGGATCGCTATCTGTACATCAGCCGTTTCACACAGTCATTGTTTTACGAGACTAGCACTTCGTTTTTTGTTTAACTCAGCCGTTAGATGTGGATTTGCCTAATGGTTTTCATGTTGTCGTTTTTTGCAGACGCTGAAACCTTCGAGCCGGAGGAACCGAATAAAAAGGCGGCATCGATGGACAAATGGGAAGGTGAAGACGACGAGGACGATGTTAAGGTACATTAAACACTCGTTCTGGATGAGCTCGGGCTAAAGTTAGCCTCCGCGTGTCGGGCTTAACGTTAAGCAATACGTTAAGCTCGACCAGTTAATGTCAAGCTAACATTGGGATGAACCATTGTCGATGTGATCCATGCTTCGTCGCGGTTCCAGGCTGTCTGGCAATCCTAACCTCCGAGCCCGTGCTAGCCGTCAGCTAGCACAAAGCTAACTCATGTGGCTCTATCTGGCAGCCTGTAGTAACTCCACTAAAGCTAGCTAACGTTAGGCTACCACTCGTTTTCAACTGGTGTAATGTACCGTTACCACAGTGAATGTTAAACTGAATCATCTGGACACTAGTGTAGTTTGCTTTCATGTAGAAGCTTACAAGTAACTAGGTAATGCTTGGCTAGCCGGTCTAAAGTTGGATAACGTAGCTTGAAGCTAATCTTTTACGGGCCACTCAAGTTAGCTAGGAAACTCGCTAGCTTGCGACTGAAAATTAGCTTAAATGGTGGATAACAATAGCGTCGTTAAGTGGTCTAGAGTAGTTGTGTGGTTGATGTAGATGATTGTCTCATCATTGCTCAAAGTTCGGGTCATTAAATGGTTGTAGAAGATGTGTCCTGTTGTGGATCCCCTCAGCTTGAGTTACGTTCAACATGAGGCGGCCTTAGCTTGCTAACCAACTTTAGCCACAATCGGATGAAATCATCATATGTGTTGATTACTCAGCTCAAGCCTCGGACAAGGCCTAGATCATTCCAGCGTTAAAACTGGCATGTAGTAGGAAACTGGTGCTCAGTTGATACTGTGGTATAAGTGGTTATTAGCTAGAAGTTGACATGGTTGCTGTCCAGAAACCTCTAATATTCACTCGGGGAAAGTGCTAGTAGAGGCCTCGTCAATTGTTAAGTTTTCTGTGGCATATGGTGCCCAAAGCCAAACAAACTGATGATGTCATGTCCTCCATAGTACAGTCTGTGGGCTTATTCAGCAAGCATGGTAAAATGTTTGACAAATTAGGGACCAACAATGAATTGCTTGTCAAAATATATTAATTTGTAAGTGGATTATTTTGAGGTATTGTAATTACAATATGCTCAAATACAATAGCTTGCTTTTCGAAGCTCATTGAGTAAAGTGTGTATCTCTTTGTAAAGATGAGTTAGTTATTTCGGTTTTTGGGTCATAGTTCGGTACGTTTTTGGTACAGTAAGGAAAACAGATTTATTGTTTAATTTTGAAAATGATTAACGTTCAACAATTACTCCTTGGCCATACTTCTTACTTTAACAGTTATGGCACTCTAATACTGACATATTGACAATAATTGACACGTAACAGAAATGTCTATTGTGTAAATGTAAAGTGTTTTTGATTCTGCTATGCTCCCATCATCTGACCTGTTGACAATTCCTGAATCATTGTTGCAGCGCTCATGCACTTAAACTATAATGCTTTAAATCTGTCTACAGTTGAGTGCGGTCGCATATACACAGTGATACTCTTTAGACATAAGCTACTTTGGCACAGTCTGAATCTGCAGACTCGCCCTTCTAATCGAGCTAAACCAGTCTACAACAGAAAACAACTTGTGTGTGTGTGAGAGAGTAGTAGACATAAACAGCTGTTTGAGGAAAGGATGGCACATACCAAACATATCATGTACCGAAGGCTTCAATACCAATATACATATTGTTACTTTCCTACTATCACAATATGTAAGATGTACGCTAAGTCTCACAAAATTATTAGGCAGCCTGATGTTCCCAACTGTGATAAACCTACCACTGGTGGTATGCGAGATCCTTGCTAAAATACCCAACAATTACACTCCAATTTGCCCAAGTCCTTAACTTAAAACCCCCAAAATTGTCATAAAATTTTTTATTATCCATTTGGTTGGACTAGTGACGTTAGCGTTAGCTAAATGTGGATGGCTTCGGACTCTGTTGTTTATTAAAGCAGAATTAGTGGAATTTTGAAATGGCTTCAAGGTCCAAAAGACGTTTAAGAGGCAGGTGAAAACACTCTTTTGGTTTGGATGGACCTAAACTTTCCCAGCTTAGATGCCGATGGACTTTACCTGTTGTGTCGTTGCATTGATTTAGGCCATTTACCTGTCTGAGCGCCTCATCACTCAGTGCTGGAATTATTAGGAACTGTTTTTTGTGTGCAGATATGTCCGTTTGTAAAATTAAGGATTTTTATGTTTTGTTTTTTTTGCCATTAATCTGATTTTGTTTAAGTGTGTTTGTGTAAGTCATCTACCGTTTGTGTGTTGTTTGAAAAGTTTACTTCCTCATAATTGTCTCAATTCATTTTTTTCCCCAGGACAATTGGGATGATGAGGAGGAAGAAAAAGAGAAAAAGGCAGAGATGAAGAAAAAGGGTACAGATATGTTTTTAATTTCTGCCTGTTTCAGAAGAACGTAATCCGTTGTATTGTATATTAATATTTAGCAAAGTTGTCTGCCTTTACTGCAAATTCACTTGTGTTCTTATTCCATTATTTAAAGCGTTAGAGAAAAAGGTTTCTGAAAAGAAAAAGCTGAGTGAGAAGATCAAAGAGAAAGAGAACCAGTTAAAGAAAGAACAGGAGCTGAAGAAGAAAGAGTTGGAGGATGTGAGTTAGTTGTTTTTTTTTTTTTTTCTCCCTTATGGCTGTAACAGTTCTATATAATTTACAAACTGTGTTCATCTATTGTAATGCTTTCATTTTGACTTTGGGACATCTTTTATTACAGGAAGAAGAGCTCGCACCTGAAGAAGAACTTGCAGAAAAGATAAGGGTGAAGAAATTACAGGAAGATGCTGACCTGGAGCTAGCAAAGGATACTTTTGGTAAGAAATGATCACACTTCAGGTAAATTAGAAAAAGATCAAAGCTGGAAAAAGTCGTTGGCTGGGGCTTTGCATCTGTGACTCTGTCCTTTTTTAACAATGAGTTTTTTTTTTTTTTTTTGGTTTTTTTTAATGGTCTTCCAGGCGTAAGCAGCACTTCAAACAGTGTCACTGGGATTGACGCCATGTGTCCATCTTCTAAAGACGACTTCACAGAGTTTGAAAAATTGCTGAAAGAAAAGATATCCCCGTTGGAAAAATCTGAGCATTATTCAAATTTCTTGGATTCATTGTTTCGGGAACTTTGTATTTCATGTAAGCAGCATTTTTTTACAGTTATTTTTACTGAACAATATAGATCATTAATTACACTTATTCACTATATCAGTACATTGCATTTCAATCAAAGCTGGCTCAACTAATAAATATTTTTCTTTCTCCCACTTACAGTGGAAGTAGAAGACTTGAAGAAAGTCAGTAATTCCCTGACAGCCCTACTTAGTGAAAAACAGAAACAAGAAAAAGTGAGTGACTGCATGCTTGTATTTACTCATATTCTGATCTGTAGTTTATATGCAGACGGGGGTGCTGTTCACCTGGCATAGCAGACATCAACTGCGCTATGCAGTCTTGTAGTTTGTTCTTAAACATTCATGTAGTTTCTTTACTAATTCTGAAAGATTTTATGTTTGTCAATTCAATTATAATATAGAACATGGTAATTTACCAGCAGAATCAATTAATAATTTAGTTTGTTGCATAGTTGAACCAGAGAATTCTCAGATCAATAGAACATTGTTTTGCTGTCAATGTGTAGTCGTATATTAAGTCATTTCTTTCAAATTTAATTTGTCTTTACAGCAAAACAAAGGCAAGAAGAAGAAGAAAGGGGTCGTTGCTGGAGGCGGATTGAAAGCACAGTTGAGAGATGACCTTGACTATGCAGAGTTTGATGGTGGCTACGCCCAAGACTATGAGGACTTCATGTGACACTGGCCCCATCGCTACTGCCCTTTACCCCTCCTAACCAAACGCAGCTGTACCTTCTCATGCTGTCCAGTGCCATCCTGGAAAATCTGAACTATGTGTTGCCCCCTTCATTTTGCTTCAATGACCAGAGGGACGATACCAGGGAGCATCCAGTCTCACCAACTCTTTGTTCATACATATGGAATTGCCTTTTCTCTGTCTCATTCAGCCTCAACTCACACATCATACATTATCTGTTGGGTGACCCAGCTTCAATGGAGAATATATTGTAACTGCTGTTGGCTGAGTTTTGTAGGCCTCATTTTTTATTAAATGTTGCTTCTTTTAAAACGGCAGATACAGTATTGCATTTATAAGTACAGTGACATAGAAACACAAGGTTCTATGTCATGATTATGTTATTGGTCTTGCTTACCTGTGGATGGTTCTCTTACAGGAAAGTATATAGTATCTATAACTTTGGTTGCCAAATTCAGAACAATTATTCATCTTTATCTCTGGAAAGGTTGCGTTGTGGATGATTTTGAGACTGACGAAACATGTAACTAGTAGTTGTATTTCTACAGAGAGCACATGACATTCACTCTTAAGGTTAAAGGGATAGACAAGTAGGCTATAATAAAGGTTAAAACTTTTAGACCTCATAGCCATTCTCTTGATACATCTCTGGAATATCCTTGAAAATATGGAGCAAAGAGTACTTGAAGGTATTTTTTGTGCATTAAGAAAAAAGTAGTTTACTAATTTGATTTCTACTAATGCAGATAAAGTATGGATCAGGCAAGTGGATTAACTTGCGTCATCTGGTCTCCTAATCATTGCTTCTGCAGGCTTGTATCAAGTGTGATGAGGAGCGGGGGCTTATGGGCTTCACCCACCATGTCTTCATATGGGCTACAGTTAATTGAAAGGGGTGTATTTCTCCTTTTTTCGAGCAATTGACCAGTTTCAATGTTACATGGAAAATTGGATACACAATGTGGAAGATACAGCATCTGCAGTGTTTTATAAGCATCCAATTTAATAAATCACTGGTTAAAAAGAAATTGTTTCTGTTCTTGTTTACAACATCAATGAAGAACTTAAATGCAATAACACAGCACCCTGATTATTGATTTTTTTTATAATGTGTAATAAATACTCTATTTACAGTTTCAAGTAAATATTTGCCACAGTACAGTTGAAACTTTTAAGGTAAAACAAAAATGCAAGGAATAGGTCTACGTTTGTTTAGTTAGATATTCCCTTAATTTGAAAGACAAGTAAATATAAAATGTTTATTAAAACAAGGTTAATCCTGTCGTCTCCATTGCAGGTCTTTTTTTTTTTTTTTTTTCTTTCCATACAGCCTTCATCAGTGTTGTCATTTAGCTTCTGGCCTTTGTGCGCCTTCCTGCAGGATTTCTTGTACTACGTCTGCTGCTGCTGCGGGGTGCGTTGGCCCTCTGTCGGCGCCGGTTCTGCCTACCTTCTCCTCTCACCACGGTTGTTACTGTTTGACCTTGAGAACTCTGCAGGGCCTGGAAGACACTCTGGCCTTTCACCTCACGATCTCCACAGGTGAACGTCAGCGCTACGCCCTCGTTGCCCTTCATAACACGAGATGTACCGTCAGAACTGCCGTCAAAGCAGCGTCCGAGTGCGATCTCTTTGGCTGTGCGGGGATCCTGGTCTGTCACCGTATAAATTCCGTAGTTGTGGCCCAGGGGGTCAAGAGGTGCTAGCATGGTGAACTCATTGGTGTCATTGTTGACGGCGAGGGGCAGATGGTTGACCAGATACTCCTGAAGGATTGTGTTAACCTGATCTCTTTTACAGCTTCCTTGTGGAATCACCTTCATCAGGGTACGATCTACACGTTCCTGGTCATACAGCATCCCACTGCACTTGAACTCCAGGCACACAGCTGAAACAGTTGCCTGGTCCATGTCACGGATGCTTCGGCTATCTCGGAGGCCATACAGCTGGCCTTTCGTCTTCGGGTGGGTGCCACCCATGTTACGGGACCGCACATTGATCTCATGTGGGCTGTTAACTTTTACTTTGATGTAACAGGCCCGGTATTCCATTGGCTTGGGCCACCACGTCAGGTAGTCCTCTGTCCAGCTCATTGGATCGTCTTCATTGAACGGCACTGTGTTGTAATCATAGCGGTCTCCTTCTACTCTTGAGAAGCGGAAGTGTGCTGCACTGAACGAGGCCTCCTCACATTCTTTCAAGTTCTCAAACGTGTACACTGGTCCATTGCTTTCTTCCGCTGTGTTGGCGCTTGGTTTTGCCACATTGATGCTGAATGCAGTCTTCTTCACTCTAGTGTCTTCATGGTCAGTGCGTCTGTAGTTCAGCCTACCCAGGTAAGGCTGGGGCACTCCAATTAAGTTGGGATTGAGTTTTGGAGCAGAAGAGACGGCCTCTAGCTCCTCTCCTCCAATGTTGGCCATGACATATGCAGAGTAGGCATCAGCTTTTTGTTCATCGCAAAAAGCAGGAAGACAGGCACCATTGGAGCCAGTTATGACACTATCGAAACGGCCCCAGGCACGTGGGTTAGATGAGTAGCCAGCTGTGGGCTCCATGTTTATAAGACTCACCACAACTCCCTCCACCTGCTCACTGGGCATGAAGCGTTCACTACGGAAGGTCCTCACTTTCACATAACACCTGCGGTTCTCTGGGACGTCCAAGTTAAAAAGACGTCTCTCTCTGATCTCCATGTTACCAATCAGAAAGGTTCTCTCCTCCCTTTTTCCTCTTCTTTTCTTCTCCACCTGCAGGCTTCCTTCCTCCTCCCACAGGCCAGTATCCGGGTTCAGTGACCACAGCTTCATGGTATTGAGGTGCTCGGACATCTTCACCTGGGCAGAATCTAGGAACACCTTAACTTCACCTGCGTTCAGCGGCTCATTGTTTTCTTCCCCCCTAAAGTCAACCGAGAACATCCCGTAGGTTCTCAGCGGCAGAGTATCTCCTTCATCTCCGACAAAGTTGAGATCACTTTGAGCTGCAGCAGCTGTGGAGACGTCTCTGGGGTCTAGGAACGTTACGCTAGCATTGACATTACCAGTGAAGACTTCTCCTTTTTCTGTATAGAAGGCATAGGGAGGAATCTGGATTTGAACCATTGCCTCCTGGCCCTCTACCTCCCCAAGCTCCAGAGTGTTGATTTCTGTTGGGCTGATGGTCACAGGAAGTTTCTTTCTTAGAAGTTTGACCTCATGGTAAACAGACCCTCCTTTGGTGTTAAATGGAAGTACCTTTGTGGTGTTAACAAATTTCTGCATGTTGTCCACAAAAGTCAGGACTAGCCTCTCTGTGTCTGGAGGAACCTGGATGGAGAATGTACCTTTGTAGCCTGTGCGGCTGATTCGGACTCCATTCATAAAGACATGGCCAAACCTCATTGGCTCACCATTGTCTGCAGCAACGGCCCTACCATGCACAATGGCCTTGGTGTCCACACATTTCTGGCAGCCGCACTCAGCCACCACCATGGTGGGCAGTTGGTAGCCCTGGCATGTTAGCTGCCTCTCCTCCATCTTTTTCACTCCACAGCAGTAAGCCACTTTGTCTTTGCACCTGATGCCATTGTCCAGCTGTCCAGCACATGTAGTTGAGGGGCACTTGCCAACATCATAGTAAAAGGAGTCTGTGCTATTTTGGTGGCAGTCATGTGGAAGACGAATGAGGTGGGATTCAGGCTTGGGATTACATGAATGCTCGTCTCTACCTGTGTAAAAGATGAAGTGTTGAATTTAGTTTGATCATACTGCCATCTATCTGATGTAAAATATAGTAGGAATCCCATTTATATTACTTTACACAATGCTTACAAAGTGTGTGCGTTCATATTCCTGTGTATTTAATATACATTTATTGAGAACACACCTAAGACTTTGAGTGTAGCTGGTTTGGTCTTAATAGCCCCAGAGGGACCGCTTGCTTTGCAATAGTACTGCCCAGTGTGCTCAGGGTTCAGATTTTTCAGGACCAAGGTGCTGTCAGACTGCTTCCTCAGGAGACTGTTGTTATGAAACCTATTGGTTCACACAGAAGAAAAGGGAAGCAAAGTCATTGATTATTCCATACTTTATTACTCAGATATTTGATGCATCCATGAAGGGCTGTAGTATTCAAGTCTGGTCTCAAGACCACTTTGTTGAAGTCTAGTACTTGTCTCGGGCTCAGCTATTGAGAACTGGTTGAGTTGTTCCAGTCTGCTGATCAGCATTCAGTTGTAAAGAACGCTGCTTGATTCTTCTCATAATCATGCGAGAAAAAAAAAAAACGCACCTCTGCCGCTTTCATAATGTACCTGTAGAAACCTGTTATGGTCCTCAAACTTAATTCTATGCATTGATTAGTTTGATGTTAGAAGACAGATGAATATTGTTTATAGATAAATTATTGCTGTCCATCCTTACTCCTTAATCACTATGTTAGCATTGGACAGACACTATTGCCTGTTATGGTCCTGAACAGAACTCGATATCCTCTGGACTCGGTCTTGACTTGGTCGAGACTCTGACTTGTCTTGACTACAGCCCTGCGTCTCTGTGACTCAAAAACATTTGTGGTCTATAAATTCACTGTCACAAGTCTTACCATTGGTACTTGTCTGGTTGTGGTGTTCCTGCCACTTTGCAGCAGAAGGCAGCAGTTTGTCCTTCCCTCCTGACCTTGCTCTCAGGGTTGCCCAACACATGAAGCTTCTCTAAAAAAAAAAAATCATAATCGGAGATAAAAATAACATTAACTATTAGCTTCCTTACATGTGTAACAAACTTGTCAATAACATGCACCTAAAAACGAATTTATTTGTTAACTGCAATGAAATATTTTGGTGTAAATCTACAGATATCCACTGTACCTATTCTTTTTAGCTGGACACTGACGACAGAGGTACGTTCAGCACTGTGAGGCACAACAACACTGAGGGTGGCGTGGCCCTGCAGGCTGACTGTCAGGGTAGTGTTGCCATCAGGGCAGATACCAGGGATGCGGTAATGCCCGTTGTGGTCGGTAAGGGTAAGCAGCTTGCCAGAGCGAAGGATAGTAGCCCCTTCAGCAGTGAGACCCCCCGCACCACGAACAGAACCCAGAAGGATGTGTTTCTTACACATGCATGCGTCACACTCAGCATTTACCTTCCCCATCACACACTGCAGGGAGCAATCTAAAGAGTAAAATATAACAAGTTAGCCATTTTATGAATACTGGGTCTCCCAGATTTGATGATGAATAAATAGAGAATTGCAGAAGAAGGGTCTGTCTGAGTAATCTAGGGCTAGCTCACCTGTTTTGGGGCACTCAGATCCACTGCATGCTCTCCCATCTACTTTAGGTCCACTGCAAGGCATAAAGCGTGACTGGCAGGTTCTAGAGCGCAGTTGGACCCCCACCTGACCACAGAGGGCAGGGCATGGGTTCCAGTCTGACCACGGACCCCAGTCACCCCGAATGTTCACACTGTTATCTATTGGAAAAGTGCAAATAACACTCAAATAATCACCTGAGAAGAAGGACCCTTCTTATTTGCACCTGTATCACCAGCAAAGTCAGGAGTTTGAAGTACACGACTCAGAGGGGTGAATTCACAAAGAATGGACTGTGGAGGCTAATATTACAATGAATTGCACATCATTTGCAACAGCTGAGTGTGATTTGGCCTTTTTTCGCATCTGATTGCAATTATCCATATGGCAAAGGATAAATGCGCTTGAGACCGATGCTTTGGTTGTGAGGGGAGAGAGGCAGCCTGAGCCCGTCGGCACCCGATACACTTAGTCGATTCAAGTTGGGCGGGTGAGTGAAATAATTAATCAATGAGGAAAATATGAATTACATTTCTCTTATTTTAAAGGGACAGTTCTGCCAAAAATAAACATATTTCCTCTTACCTCTTACCTCAGTTTAGATTGTTTTGGTTTGAGTTGCCTAGTTTTGGAGATATCAGCCGTAGAGATATGTGGTTTCTCTCAAGGAGCCAAAATGATACATTTGATAAACAGACCTTGTTGTGAGCAATTTTAAATGCTCACAACAAGGT